GGCCATTTCTTTGCTGAGTGAAAATTGGTATTTTGTGAATGAAATGCAGGAATTCTTGCTGCTTGGAGCAGTGAAGCACTGGTGCAAGCTACCTGAAGACTGGGAAATAGCTTTCATTTGTGATTGTGAATAGTTAGCTAGGTGGTGCCTTCTTTGCCTCACTGGTCATTTATGAAGTGTTCCAGGCACATCCCAGGATAAGGGTTGAGCCAGGGATTATCTGAGGGCGTGTGACCCCTACAATTCCATCAGACAGGATGGCTAACTCCAGAACAGGCACGGAGAGAGCTGGCCAATGCACCCACTGTCTTTGCAAGGTTGAGATGATCAGGGAGCCAGCATGCAGGTTAGGGTGTTATGGCCCAGGTGAGCAGAGAGCCAGACAGGTACAGTCCTGCCTGGGGGGTGCCCTGGGTTGTTGGGCTGTTCCCTGTTTGATGCCAGCAACAGCAAGGGCACCATGTGGTCTGTCCTGGGCCTCGTCCTGTTTAACACCATTTTCAGTGACCTGGAGGTGGCAACTGAAGGCACTTCTATGGGGTTTGCAGAAGTCACCATTCTCAGGGGAGCAGCTGACAGGCAGGAGAGAGGCTGGAGAAACATGCAAGCATGGATGCTGTTGGGCATAGATGGGGACAAAGCTGTGCTGCCTCATAAAAGCAGAGGATGTGATACAAAATCTACTGCTCTTCCTCAGCCTCCTCCAGCTGTCTTGTTTACAGTGCAGCTTTACTTGTTAGTTGTATTTTGTTTAATCTCTCCTCACAAGTGATCTACTGAGCATTGACCAATGCCAAGCACAAGGAAGCATCACTCCACAGAACTATGCTTACTTCAGCTTTCAGTATATTAGTTTCCTTTCTTGTCCCTCAGGCCCTCATAAATCTCATAAAATCCTTTTCAGATTGAAATCCTACTCTTCCCAAGCTGTAACATGTTTTACAGCACGTATTTCTCTATAGCTATCTTGGTCTCTTGTTGACAGTCTTTAGGTATCAGTTCCTTGGTTGGTAGACATCTTCCTTATTCTTCAATCTATCCACTTGCTTTTGTTCAGAGCAATGCATGGGGATAATAAATTGGCCCACAAGTGACTGACATTGCTTAGTTCTTTCTGTCACTCCAGTGTTTCATAATACTGAATCCTGGGAATGTCTTGAAGAAGACAACAGCATCTTCCCCATTTGCACATCTCTCAGAAGATCTGCAAGGTGCCTGGATTTCTCTAGTAAACTCGATGGATGTTCTTCCATAAACAGTGCTCCAGTAGTTTAATAGATTTATTCCAGAATATGAAAATAAATGGTCGTTTCAAATGCCAGTTTTAAGATTTGCAAAATGGAGCTATGTACATGCATAAGATGAGAGCATAAATCAGCTTAGTGAAACAGCTTTGTAAATATTTATGAGCATAGGGCTCCTCATTTCACACATTTTACTCCTTCTCTGTCCTCATCTTAAGCTTTCACTTGCTTTAGTTTATAGTTGGTAGTTTGGGCTGGGTACCTGACATTGCTAAATTGCTGCCTGTTTTCCCTGGTATTGCATATACCACAACCCAAGCCCTTTAGTGACTGCAGGTGAATGCATGATCTATAGAAGGAAACACGTTTGCATGGAGGGGCATATTCTGAATTCTGATGGACCCACATTGTGTTGAGTGACGTTTACCAGGCACCACATTGATGAGCTGAAGCACAGCCTGGAGTTTCCTGCTTGAGCTGCCACCCCTTTTTTGGCTGCAGGCGAGGCAGGATCCTCTTTGTGTTGGTATCAGAATGGGGCTGGTTATTCAGAAGGGTGAGGAAAGGAAGATTAAAAAGATGGTCGATGGGATGAAAGATAAAGACATGGAATGACAGAGATGTGAAGCGGCTGTGAAAGAACAGAGGCAAAAGCATCAGAGCTGTCAGGATACAGCAGAAACTGTCTAATGAGGCCTACAGAGATGGAGTATCATCTCATGCAAAAATCTTTGTCTCCCTGGCACCTTCTCCTGTGGCCATGATCCTTCCCAAGCATCCTGGCCTTTTGGTGGTACAAAGTAGAGGAAATTACATTTTCACCCCTTCTTTTGCAGGAGTCACAGAGGAGAGCAGACGGATGCAAGCATATAGACATTTTCTTTTCAATTTTTACGAAGATGTGCATGTGCTCATTATTTCCATTTGTGTCCATGTTAGTGCTGGAATTTCTATTACTCTTCATTAATTCACACCAAAAACTCTGCATTTTCTCCCTATTTCACTAATATCAGATAGCACCATGTTGATATAATAACCAGAAACAAATTTTAAAAATAAATCTACTGATATTTTCCTAGTGTTTGTTTGACCAGACCCTTGAAGTTCCTGAGCAGTCAGTGGACTGAGATAAGTGCTATCATTTTTCTTCTCTCTTGTCTGCTGGCTTTTCAGCCTTTTTGAACTGCAAGCCACAAGGGGGCTGAGCAGGAGGTGCTTGTGGCAATTCAGGATGGATTATTCTCATTGAGGAATTGGCTTCTGCTGTTTCATGAGAGGCTTTGGCAGATCAAAAGCTGTTGCTGCTGAGATCCTGCCAGGCATGCTTTCCATGTATTTCTGTATGTCTTCACTGAAACTGCGTGGGATCAGTGGAATAGGGGAATTTGGGTATGAAAACATTTTTCATTATATTTGCACATCCTAATTAGAGATTTATAAGGACAGCCAGTTATGCTGCCATTTAAACAATTCCTTGTATTTAATTGTGTTTGCATTTTTATTAGTGAAATATAACAGAGAAAGGTAACTTATTAATTTACATGCAGACTTACCAGAAGATTCTTGTACATTGTAAAATTTCACATCATTTATTGTCTTAGCATGCTTTTAATCATATTCATGCAAATTTAAGTGTCTTCCTGACTGCAGTGGTATCATTAATTAACAGTTACCCTGAACTCTGATGATCATAGGTTTGGCATAAACACAAAAAAAATATGTTCTTCAAAAAGTAGATTTTGGAAAGCTTATTGGCAATTTTTCCTGAAGTTATGACTCATTTTGTATTTTTAGACACTGCTTAAGCACAACTGCTGGTGTACTTGAGGAAAAAAATGCTCTTTGATCAAGTAGGATGTTTGTCTCTGGTGAGCTGTGCTTAAGGCTTTTGTTCTTTCATTTGCATAGTCTGTAGTCACTGACATTCCTCAGGGATCAATACTGGGTCCATTCTTGTCCAACTTGTCTCTCAGTGGCACAGGAGGCCCCTCAGCCAGTCTGACACTGAACTGGGGGAGTGGCCGATCCCCTGAAGGCTCTGCTGCCATTCAGTGGGACCTTGGCAGGCTGGAGAATTGGGCAGAGAGCAGCAGAACGAGGTACAGCAAGGGAAGTGCAGGGTCCTGCACCTGGGGAGGAATAACCCCAAGTGCCAGCACAAACTGGGGACTGACCTACTGCAGAGCAGCTCTGCCGAGAAGGACTTGGGGCTCCTGGTGGGTGACAAGTTGTCCATGAGCCAGCAGTGCCTGTATGGCCAGGAGGGCCAATGGTGTCCTGGGGAGCATCGGGAAGAGTGGCCAGCAGGTTGAGGGAGATGATCCTGCGCCTCTACTCAGCCCTGATGAGGCCACCTCTGGAATACTGTGTCCAGTTCTGGGCTCCTCAGCACAAGAAAGACAAGGAGCTACTGGAGAGGGTCCAACAGAGGCCACAAAGACAATGTGGGGTCTGGAGCATCTCTTGTGAGGAGAGACTGCAGGAGCTGGGCCTTTCGGTCTGGAGAAGACTCAGAGGGGATCTCATTAATGCATTTAAACCTCTGAAAGGAGAGTGCCAAGAGGGTGGTGCCAGACTCTTTTCAGTGGTGCCCAGTGACAGGACAAGGACTGCTGGCCATAAACTAAAATATGAGGAAGAACTTCTTTCCATTTAAGTTGGCAGAGCACTAGAACAGGCTGTCCAGGGAAGTCATGGATTCTCCATCTGGAGACATTCAAAACCTACCTGGATGAGTTCCTTTGTTACCTGCTCTAGGTGACCCTGCCTTGATGGGAGGGTTGGACCACATGATCTCCAGAGGTCTCTTCCAACCCTAACTATTCTGTGATTCTGGGATAGTTAGTAAAAAAATATATAAGGTCTTTTGTAAGTAACTTAATTTCCAAGTGTGTCCCTTCACCTCATGTTTCCTGATGACCAGTTCCAGGCAAGTTAACATCCATGGATTTTTGCAGTCCCCAGGTTGCATTTTCAAGATATCATGATCCAGAACATGGGGCTGGGGTGCAATACACATTTGGTGAGTCAAGGGTCAGTGAAATTTAAAAATGTGGAGCAGCCACCATGACTACTTCAGGAGCATCTTGAGAGCAATTAGTGATGATAACACTCTCCATCTACACCCTAGAAAAAAGAAAGCATAATTCTGTTGCTTTTTTTTTTTACGTAACCTCTTTGAAATTAATTAAGAACAGGAATGTATCCTCATACTAGCAGATACCTCGTGTAGATGAACAAGCCAAGTCTTAGATGTTTCCTTGAATGTGCAGAACCAGTTCTTTTTATGCAACAGGGAGCAGCATACAAACCCTCAGAAGTAGTGGTCATGATGTTACATACCGGCTTTCACTGCAGTCCCGCTCCTTTATCTTGGACAATCCAGGACTGAGTTCCCTGCTGAAGCTTCCTCTTAAAATTATGCCTCTCCAGAGACCCAAAATTGTCAAGGACCTCTGCTTGCAACACTAAGTACAGTAAATGCTATTGTATTATCCAACAGTAGCAAATTAAATAATCCCACTCCCGTCACTTGCTAGCAGGATAATGTTAAAGCCATTCCTCTGGGATGGAGAGTAATAATTTGATAATTCCCCTCAGTATTTCATGCTTCTCAGTATTGCAGCTAATTTTCTCTGAGTACCTTATTAGGATTCACAATGACTTTGCAGTCCCACCCTAATAGCTCTCCGCAGAGGCAGTGACTGTGAAGGTGAGAGCTGATAGTGACACATTTTCTTCCTTTTTTCTCTACAGACTCTATTATCCTGGCTTCCATCCACTGAGGGCTGTCCAGCTGATGCGAGTGGGCAAACTGCAGTACAGTCAAGGCATGGTTCCTCAGGCACTGGAAACCTTGAAACAGGTCAGTGTGGTGAAATATTTTTTCTCTATCCCCCTCCCTTGCTTCCCCTAAAACTGCTGTTCCCCCCTCATCCGTTTGGATGCTCCTCACCACTTCTTCCACCAGTGGTGTTTCCCCAGGATGCAGCTGGGTGTGGTGATGGGTCACTGTTGCTCAGCAAAGCATTTCAGGCACTGACATTCTCCAGCATCAGTCACAGCTAATTACAGTTTGATAGCTCAGAGGTGCCTGGATGAAAAATTACTATTAGTTCTGAAGAGATAAATTATCTCAGTGCTTCGTATGTTCCTTATTCCCATAGCAAAGTGATTCTGAGAGCACTGAAAGTACTAGAACAGAAGGAGAGCTGCAGTTTCTACCCTCTTTATTCCCTATTGGATTCTGTGATTTCAGGCTGGAAAACTTTGTCTTTAATGTGTATATTTTATTGTGAGCCAAACTGAAATCTACAGGCATGTCCCTTGATCCCTTATATTTCTTATCATTCATCATCTTTGATCAGGTTTTGCATCTGTGCTTTGTTAGTTACATTTCAGCTTTAAGCCATCCCGCTCAGTACCTGAGCTGACTTTTATATTAATTTCCTTGCACCTCAGGCTCTTATTTGTCCTGCTGTTATATTGCTGTTAGTATCATTTTAAGTATATTAAATAATCCCTTTCCATGTGCAACGTGTCCTCAGGATGTAGAATCTTGCCTCCCATCTCAGGCCCTCAATCACTGCTGGGGTGCTTTGCTCCCTCTGGAAGATGTGCTGCCTTTAGTTTCCTTCAAAAAGGTCTTATTCTCTTATGTTATCGTTTATTCTGTGGTCAGCTTGCCCTGAAGACACTACATACTCCATGTGGTTCCCTGTCCTGTCTCTTGGCTCACCTCCAGTTCCTGACACAGCTCCTTGTTGCCTTTGCTGGATGCTGCCGAAAGCCACCTGGCCCAGCCACTTGCTTGTGTCTGCTGGGCAGGACCAGGCCCAGTTCTGGCACCAGGGTTGGAAGGAAGTGAAGAATTTGGCTCTACATTCCCTTCAATTAATGTTCATGCTATGTAAAGTGCTTTGTGGTAACTGCTTGGGGTAGAAGGGAATGGGGGTCTCCATGGAGGTGAGGGAGGGGTGCTTTTCCACTCCTGCCCAGGTCCCCTGTAAAGATAATATCAGTCATGACTCTCTAGGTATTAGTATTTTGTACTTACCTTTTCTTCAACTTCCATATCTCTGTGGTTCTAACATCTGATTAATGATGCAAGCTGAATAATTTTCATATCTTGAAGTAATAAATTAGTATTTAATATGGTGCCACTCTTGCTAAGTCTTGGTAAAATTTAAACCTTCACTTGATATATTTTACTTATATTATAGCCAATTCTTATCATTATAAAGCAGACAGAAGAATAATAAATTTATTTTTATGTGATATTCAGAAGTATATCATAGATCTGTCATGTGCCAGGTAATCTCTCTGCTCTTTCCCCAAAAATATTGCTAATTTCCAAACATTCAGACTTTCCCTTTTAGCAATGGAATGAGATTCCAGTCAGAGGAGCTTCTGTTTTCCTTGACACTCCTATAGTTATATCAACAGGCATTCTTCTATTTGCATTTCTAATGTGATACTTCATTAGATTAAACTGGAGTGAATTCCCCTAGAGAAAAATAAATGATGCTGGTCAGCGAAGGTGGACATTGCAATGGGGATTTATATGTTTTTGGTGAAGAAGCTGCCCATTGCAAGCCAGATTGCTACTCTATGGTCCTTTGGAAACTGAGCAATGCCTAACACAGAAACCTTTTCTAGGCTGTGACCTCCACTTTCTCTGCAAAGGGACATTAAGGTGCTGCTTGCCCTTCTGTGTCATACTTCAGTGATCCTCTAACAGAGGCTCCAAGCCATTGGTGCTCCATAAGGACACAGTGGGTGCTTTACAACTGAAGTGTAGAATCCTGTCATGGCTTTGCCTATTCCCTATTCAGCCTCCCCTTTTTCACCCAAGTGTGGGAGAAGGAGAGACTGAACTCCCCTTCCCTGGGAGCACAGCTGAGAGGAGCAAGAACTTCTTGTCATCCTGTTTCTCCGTGTAACTTCTTCAGATGAGCTCTGCAACTGATTCACTTCCTTGCTGTCTACACCGGAACAAATTAGAGGAAGATATAATTCCCAGTTTGTTGTGACTAAAGGATCTGATTCCTAATACTAGTCAGATAATGTCCTAGAGTTATATGAGAACACAATTTGCCACTTTGTGATTAGAAGTGTCAACAGAGCATGCCACATGCTCAGAGCAGAAACTCCATTACCTTCTCTGCTTCATTACTCTTCTTAATACACTCTGACACTGAATAGCAGTACCCTGTTGGAACCCTCGTCAGACTAATTTCACTGTGGCATCAGGAATAAGGATATGGAAGGTGCAGAGGAATTGGGATCTGAGTGGAATTCACCTCGCATATAAATCCTGTTTAATCAGGCACAGCCTCAGAGCTGCTGGGGATTGACAGCCTCTGCAGCAGATACATGGTCTGTTAAGACCAGTAGATCTCTCTTGGCTCTGCAGCCGAGCCCTCACTGCTGCTCTCTGTGACACAAAAATATTAATCACTATCCTAACCACCTTGCTCTTAGGGCCCTATGGGTTTAGCTCTCTGCTCTGCACCCCCGAAGAAGGTTTAAATAATGTGGAGGGCTTTATGTTGCCCATTAGAAAGAAATCACCCCTAAACTTACATTAGACCCTGCAGAATCTTATTTGTTAGATTTTGAAATGGAAGTTTTACAGAGAGGCAATACTCCACTGGAAAGAAAACTGAAGGTAGCCCTTGGTTTATTTTACAACCAACATATTATTTTTAAATTTATATACATATAATGAAAGATGTATTAGAGGACAGATTGAGTTATAGATCTGGAAAGCTTTTGTTAGCAAAAGACAGAAACTGGAGCCCAATCTGAAAAGCAATTTGAAGAGCCTGACATGGCCTGGTCATGGGAGTACTTTTGTCCCCCATGAGCTGATGGGTTGTCTCATGAACGTCTACTACATGTACTGTACAACTTCCCTTCTTATAGAAATCCCTGTTTTGGAGGCAAAAAGCACAAGAATTTGGGTAAAAATCCTTCCCAGGTATCAGAGCAACACTGAAGAAATTCCTTCTCTAGGCGTTTGCTTCAAGCACTGAATTGTTTACCAGCTGTCATTGATAGTATTCCTATGCCTGCTTTAACAACCTGTAGTCTTCAATTAAGAGAGATGGAAAAGCACAGATACTCCCTCTGAAATACTAGACTAGACTTCCTGCCACTCTGGCACATGGCCATTTTCTTCCTTCTTTCCCTGTGACAGAGCTGTGCCATCCTGCAGCTGCTCACAGCCATGGGCATCCTGTTCCATCTCCGTGCAAATCAGGCACAAACACCTGCATTGCTCCTCATTTACATTCATGGAGCAGCAGCCCTACCTCTGCACTGATGGGGTTTATATTCTTCAGGGAGACAGGGTGTAGCTGATGACACTGTGGCCTGTGTTGTTGTTGTAGCTTTTCATAATTAGATTTGCTCTTTTAGCTGAAAAGGAGACCACACGGACCACTCAAATCTGCTCAGCCTCAGCTCTGCCAGTGAGCTGTGGGACTGAGAGCAGGGGAGTAGGCAGAGAGCCCATGTCCTGCTTCTGTCCAGTAAAACAATTCCTTGCACTGGAGCTGAAATTATTCCCAGTTTTGCACTGACCTTTACCAAAATAGCTACATAGCTTAATACCAGTTGAATTTAGGGATTACCCAAGTCATTGCTGTTCTAACTTTGATGCAGCTGGTTCTGACTTGTACAGCAGTGTGTGAGATGGTACATTGCATAAGAATGATTTTCTACAAGGAAACAAAAGTATAAAGACTGAGTGCTTTTGTCTGCCATACTTACAAAAAGAAAAAAAAAAAAGAAGTGGAAAGAAAATGCTGAAGGTGGGAGAAAGCCAGAAATGGTAGCATTAACTCAATATTAGGTTTGATATTAAGGATTATTGGTGTTTAATGGAGGTACATATATACAGACATCTCTGGCTGTGCATCTCAGGGTGTTAGGGTCCAAGTGCATCACTATGAGCCTGATCTCTATCCTGTACTGGGGCTGAAGATCCAGGTCAGCTGCCTCAGGACTGTCACTCAGATGTATCCAGATGCACAGCTCTTAGCATACATCATTCACAATAAATCCATCAGCTTTCTGGGATAGTGCATGCAAGCACTGTGCACCAATTTTTCAGGATCCAGGACCAATTCACCCAGCCACTTTGCTCTAGGGTGATCCTGTTCCCTTCTAGTTACTCTGGGTGCAGCTGCATGTTACAAAAATATAGCATTTCTGATTTTGTTTCACATTTCTTTGCCATTTCTAAAAGCAATGAAAGTTTTTCCATCATTCTTCTTAACTGTGTAAATTTAGTAGTAGGGCACTGTGGTAGCTTAAAACATATTTGACTCTTTTTAGAGCTCTGCTCACTGTGATTTGTTTTGACTGATATTTCAACTTGTTCTTTCAGTCTTGTGCTGCCTCCCTCCTTTAAGAATTAGCAAATTTGACCCAAAAATAAACTGTGCTGCAATTTCCATATGCCTGCCAGTCTTCATTATTTGGAAGTAGGCTTTCATTCATTCCACCAAAATATATATTTACTTTTGTCCATCCAATTTAAATGATGTCTCTTCCTCAACATTTCTTCCCCAAGAAAAAGTGCTGCAATTCAAAGCCAATTTACCTGAATTTTGTCAGCTACTGGACAAGGAACCCTTTGAAACATAGGCTGCATTTAGTTTTTTGCAATTCTTCTGTTTAGGATGATGAAAAATCTCTGATCTTTTCTTCTGCCAGTGCACTACTATCTCCCTTGTTCTATCTTCAGAAGTGCTGAGTCAGCTTCCATCTAGGACTTCCTTCCTTGCAGGAGGAATTTCATAGAAGGAAGAAGCAGAAATGCCATATGAAAAGTGATGATCTAAACAGGAGCTGGGCAAAGAGCATTGCAGACAAATATGTGGCAGGAAATCAGCAATACTACAGGCAATGTCAGCAAGTGTAAATTTGCCCAGCAGTAGAAGATGACAAACAGGGAAAATAGTCCCTGGCAAAAGTAGCAAAGACCCATTCCCTGCATGCTTTTTGACAGTGAAACTATTAATGTACTTATTTGTTTGATGCTATGTATAGTTGCTCCTGTTAGAGTTAAGGTACTTTATTCCAGGTGTTAAGCATTAATCTATTTCTATTTTTCCAGTACTTTCAGGCTCCTAACATCATGAATATCACAGTCATCTTTTAAATAATGTATCAAAAACCTTGGGTGTTGACCAATCTTGAAATGGCCTTCATGTCTCAGTGCAAAATTATCTTTCTCTGCTATCCCATACACCCAGCTGTGCAACTTATTTGTGGGTTTTAAAACCTAGGAATAATGTGTCAATGCCTCCTTCTTTGGCAGGGACAAATCACCATGCACTTTAGGATGCTTCACTCCTATTTCAGCCATGCCATGCATTCAAGCCCCGAGGTGCCAACCACTTGAGGACAAGTTCTTACATCCCACCCTGCTCCAGTGTCCAGCCCCTTTGCATGGTCTGCACAATGACTAACATGTCCATTTCTATTCTTTCTTAAAGGCCTATAATATTATGAAGGTGACCCATGGGACAGATCACAGCCTGATGAAAGTCTTGATGGAGATGAAGGAAGAGTGTGAGGCCATGATGAGAATACAGTGAAGATTATCTCTAGTATGGAAAACAAAGCATTCAATGAGAAAGAAGAGGATTTTATTTAATTGTGAAGCTTCTCAATGGTTTTAGTGTCTTTTCTTTAGGTCCCATTTGCTTTACAAAAAGGTTTAATATTAGTTGTGCTGTATGGTCTGAATTGAGTTGGTGTTTGACAGAATTCCTGTAATTTTCAAAGGATTTTTTTTGTCATCAATCATCAGTCTTATTGAAAATAACTAACAATACCTAATTATTTGATTGCAAGTATTGGGAAATGGATACAGAGTCTTCATCAGTTACAAAGTGATCTAATTCCATTGATGTCAGCAGTCAATTTTTTATATCAGTTTATGTTGGCAATTACGACTCTCTTGTCAGACACATTATAATTTAAGAGAATATACTTTTTCCCCTTTACGTTGTCCTTTGGTATGGCTTCCAAAAGCCTGATCCAGTGCTCTTTGACATCAAATAAGCTTCCCAATGTTTTATATGAGATTTTCTTCCCTCCCAATAGATCTGCAGGGCTTTGTCTGTATTCTTCTTCCATTTCATGCCATATAATATTGAATACTAAAATGGATTAAATTAAAAAATTTATCATAGGTAGAAATTGCACTCTGCTTTTTTCCCATTTTGCCATCTTCAAGAGTTTCTCACTTCTTAACAGTTTTAAAAGCAGATATCTGGACCTGTGAACTCAGTGCCATGGCTTCTAAAACTTTCTGAGTCTGTGGAGTTTGAATGTCATATCCCCAAATAGAGAAGCCCAGAGACCTACAGATGAACATTAGCATCCCTGGGGAAGACAAGCATGTCTTGGAAAGCACAGGCACATTACTTCCCCATGCTCATCAGCAAGAGACTTGTTCTTGCCAGAGCTGTTTACTGCCATTTTTAACACAGAAACAAATATTAATTACAAAAGCCAATATTTATGAGCGACATTGAAACTTAAATAATTTAAAGCCTTTGAAAGTATTGCTTCAGGTATGTCGCTCCTCTAACAATTTATTGCTGCTACTCCAGCCATGACTGTTACTTCATTAATCCATCGTTGTTGTAAAGTCAGGCTTTTTTCACACCAGTAACCTGACACCATTAATTATTACAAGATGAGAACACATTTAAAAAGAAAATGAACACTCTGGGCGTAATTTACAGCCATGGCACACGAATGCCAGGGCTGAGGAAGATATCTCTTTTCAAGACGTTTGAATTTGTTCCAGCGTTTGGAGCATTCACTTGCTCGGCAGTAATGTGCAAGCAATAACCTCTGAAATGCAATGCACTTCTGGAGTACATAGCATGGCTTGCTGCCAGAGGCCAGGTCGTATCAGCCACCCAAGAAGTGCAGTAATCCTCACAGAAATTCACTGCTTGGTTGGGTCTTCCTGTTGTTATAGAAAGGAAATTGTCTGGGGGAAAAGGTCAGACCTTTGCATTTATTGGGAGTTCTGACAAAGTACTGATGGACAGCCGGTCTTCAAAACCTATTTTCTGATTTTAAATGGGCACATGCGTATTAGAATTTACATGATTTTTGTGTAAAGGCCATGCTTATGTTATCTCATGTTTACATATCTGGTACTAAGATTTGCAAATAGAGGGGACTTCAGAATATAAGGTCAGGTGATACATTCGTTTGTCCAGCATATTCTGGAGACAGCCCAGAAGCCCTCATGCATGCAGACACATCTGCAGCTATGAACTGCAGCACAGTTTACTGTGGCTTCTGCTCAGAAAGGACATCTCAACAGTTCATGGTAAGAGCTGGGAGAAAGGCAGAGTCACCTGCTGTCAGATGAGAACAGCTACTTTACAGCAAGCTGCAACATCTACCTGTGCTGGGGCATTCTCCCAAGCAGTGGTGTTCTCTAAGAAGACACTTAGAGAAGAGGTACAAAGGAAAGAATTCAATGACAGCCTGATGGGAAATAGAGAAGGAGCGTGCTGTTGGCTGTGGAGTGTCACAGCAGCAGCTGTGCTGCCATGAGTGCAGAGCTGTTGGAAATCCATCTTCAGCACAAGAAACTGAATGGGCACCAGCATCTTCAGTGTTGGGGCATAACCCATGGGCTTTATATTCATTACTCTTGATGCAAAACCTCTTTCAGCTTGGTCAAGGCAAGAGTCAAATTTTCTGGTTGTTTTCAGTCATTTACTGTGCAATTTCCCTTTCCACCAGCAGTGCTGCACGGGAGGTTGTTGTGGCCAGATTTTTTTTCCTGGTAGTCCTGCTCCAGTATATTTTCTGCAGAGAATGCTGGTCTGTGATTGTGGAGGGATTTACGTGAATGCATCATTTGAAAGTGGCAGCAAGCAAGGGTGCCAGGGAGGAGGCAGCATTAGATAAGCACTCATTTCAAATCAAGTAATGTTATCTTTGCACAGACATCCTGTTTCAGTTTTCATGAATAATATCTGTCAAATTTTTCAGGTGCTGGTATTAGTGGTAAGATAAAGATGCTAAAGTCAGAAAGAAGCAGACTGCAACATTATCTGTAATGCTGACAGGTTTGCTGCTTGCTTCCCACAGGTTGGAGGCTTTTCTGGTGCCTTTTGGAAAGCAGTGGTTACTTGAGTTCACCTCAAGTTTTAGGAATGCATTTTGAGTTACTTGTGTTTTGTTGCTCTCCCTTAAATTAGTCCAGGAAAAACAATGTTAGATTCCATTCAGAGGGACCAGAATTGCAGTATCTGTTTGGAAGAAAAGCAGTAGCAGAGCACAGAGCAAAAACCGTGGGGAATGATACAGTTTTGCTAAGAATAACTGATTACAGTTGAACAGAACATTTATCTTAAGCAAAAAAAAAAGTGCTCCCTAAACTCTGTTATTTCTTTAAGAATGTCATAATTCTCTGTATCCATGCCTCTCAAGGGTGCTGACCTGACATTGGAAGTAAAAAGTCTTTGAGACCATGGCAAACAGACCATTATGCAGTGCTTAGTAGAGGTAGTAGAAAGTAAAAGAAAAGCAGTGAGGGAAAATGCAGTAAACTAGTTTTTTAGAGCTTTGAGTCTATCAAACTGTGTGTGAAGTCTATCATGCATGGGTTTATGCCAAGAAAACTCGCCCACTACTCAGCCTTTTTTCTGCTTCTCATTGTAACCCTCTTCTCTCATAGCTAGGTTTTTAAATGAGCTTTTCTTAGACTTGTTATTTTTTTACAGAGCATGTTTATGAAATACAGAGGCTATTTCCCCATACAGTGTATTTCAAGTAGTCCCTGGCCACTGCAAAGCTCTTAATGAACAGAGTTACATTTTTCACAGAGGTTGTGCCAATTATGAGGATTTTTTTTTCCTGAATCAGAATTAAACCTCCCATAAGACAAGAAGAAGGAGGAAGGTCTTACAATTATGGACATGGAGCTCTGGCATGGCTTTTCTGCTGCAACAGAAATTGTGTCTGACCTTGGGCACATCACACAGGGTTAGACGCCCATACTTAAAGTTCTTTATTGTTGATCCTTGGAAAATAAAGAAAAAGGAAGAGAAAAGAGAAGAGGAAGAAGAAAGGAAAGGAAAGGAAAGGAAAGGAAAGGAAAGGAAAGGAAAGGAAAGGAAAGGAAAGGAAAGGAAAGGAAAGGAAAGGAAAGGAAAGGAAAGGAAAGGAAAGGAAAGGAAAGGAAAGGAAAGGAAAGGAAAGGAAAGGAAAGGAAAGGAAAGGAAAGGAAAGGAAAGGAAAGGAAAGGAAAGGAAAGGAAAGGAAAGGAAAGGAAAGGAAAGGAAAGGAAAGGAAAGGAAGGAAAGGAAAGGAAAGGAAAGGAAAGGAAAGGAAAGGAAAGGAAAGGAAAGGAAAGGAAAGGAAAGGAAAGGAAAGGAAAGGAAAGGAAAGGAAAGGAAAGGAAAGGAAAGGAAAGGAAAGGAAAGGAAAGGAAAGGAAAGGAAGACTGGCTATACTTTCAATAACTCTGCCTCACATGAACATGTCCAGACTGGTGTCAGAGGTGTAGCAACATGGCAGTATCTGTGTTACAGCCCTGCTGTTGCTGGCTGTGGGTGGCAGAGGTGGGAATGGCATCACTGCAGTTGTCATAACTGCAGGTATTACTCTGTGAGAATTCCTTCACAACTGCGTGCCAAACATGGGCAGTGAGCTGTGAGCTGCTCCTGTCTATGCTTTCCCTCCTCCAAATAGACAAAGCTTTGTTTCCACCCGCAGAACTTCAACAACATCTAGAGAAAAAATCCAAAGCAAGTGCTTTTCTTTATTTCAGACCAAAGCCATGTTAGAGTTCCTCTTTTCCTTTTCTCTTTTATTCTTATTCTGATTACTATTTTCTCTTTCCTTTCAATGTACATTTTTCCAAACAAAACTCCTTTCCTTTTTTTACAAATTTATTTAGCCTGAAAATAGATTTGTTATGGCTCTTTTATAAAGGGCACCCCTGAATTTTCCCTGCCCTAAGCAAAAGGAGTGCACCTTATCTGAAAGTCTATGGCCTGCAGTTCTTGTAATTTAGAACAATGGTTTGTTTATCCCCACAACAGTGATGTGTAAGTCAGGCCTATGTCATCCCTGTTAATATTTCCTGGGGAAAGCTCAATGTTTCTATTTGCTCAGCAACATGGACAAATCAATTCTAACTCCATAGTTTCTTAGACTTTTTGTAGGTTTTAATAAGAACCTTAGAGATTCCCTCCCCCCATATAAAAGAATAACTCAGGCTTAGTAATTAGGCTTCATACAGTCACTGCTCACACCGAGGAACCTAACAGGTTCTTTATAGTTCCCAGGAGACCAATTAACCTTCTTTTAAACATATCTCTATATAGCCACCAAGACAGGCACACACAGAAATGCATACACACAACAAGCTTTTCAGCAGTCTCAGATGCTCCAGCTCCTTGTTAACCAAATTCTAATGGGGCTTATGGCAGGAGGGCAGGTCTGAAGCATCCTGCTCGAGTTCATTTTAACTCTAAAGATGACTAAATCAGGACAGACCACAATCTCTTCTAATTTCCTTGCACCCAGGACAGGAGGAAGAGGATAATCACACAGCCTCTTCTATGCCTTAAGTTTCCCTCCATCTCTGGGGGTGGGGCAGGCACCACTTGCTGGTCCCCTTACCTGCTCTGTAAGGTACCAGCTAATGAGCCTGCTCTCCCATCTCTGTTTCAGTTAAGGGCTGGTCTAGTGGGGCTGACAAGATGAGGAAAGAGCAGTGATTTCTTCCTCCGCCCCTCCAATTCAGCAGCTCTGATTCCCAGTCCCAGAGGCTCCAAACAGGAAGGTGGCAAATTTACATTCATCTTGAAGGAAAACTGCACTTTACATCACAGGTGATACCTCTTGACAATTCCACTTGACTTTCAGAGCAAGAGCCAGGAGACAGTAATAGAGAAGGGTCTGATGAGAAAATTAGCAGAGCACCACTCTTCCCCTCCCCCAGGTCCTGTGCACTGCTCTGAGCAGTTCTTGCCTATTTACTCTTAATGAAGCTCCTTGTAATGAAGTATTTCTTGTGCTGTCATCCTGTTCCTGTCTCTCCTTGTGGTGCTGAGAAACCCATGATAAAATAGGTAGAGAAGAGGTCTGGCCTGATGCTCCCTGTTCTGTCCCTTGGGGACACCCAGGTGATGTGTAACAAAGCCATGGAGCTGCCATCCCTCCTACCAGCAGCAGCACACTGCAGGAGCCCACAGGGAGGGATGGAAAGGCTGTTGTAGTCTTTGGATGGAATTTCAGGCATCACACTGCTGTGGGGAGGAATGGCTTTCCATACCTATAGTGGCAGTCATAGAGCTGAGGGGCAGCTGGTAGTCTGGGAACTGGAGTAGCAAAGATCACAGAAGTACAGAACAAGCTGAGCTGGAAGGGACCCTCAAGGATCATTAAGCACAAGTCCTGGCCCTGCACAGCACCATCCCTGAGAGTCACACCATGTGCCTGAGACTATCACTGCTGGGAGTTTGCCTCTGCTTTTTCCATTCCCCCCTGCTGTACTTCAGTCTCCTTGTCAAGTTCTGTGGAGAGTCTTCAGTGAGGCACCGGTAATGTCTGGATTTCTGTTCTCACTAATGTCATTAACATTGTGTACTCAGGTTGTACCATGGATAACACTGCAATCAGAATACACTTAGTGGGGAGTAATGTTCCCCCATCATGCTAACAGAAATGATGATTGAGGAAAATTCTTATCATTACTTGGGAATGTTAATTTCTGAACATCTGTGGCTGAATGTACCAGTAAATAACAGAATTTTTAAAGGTCAGAGTAATGAGGATATACAAAGACTACTTATCATTACCAAATGTTTTCTGTGGGGACTGTTACATAATTTGTGAACAATAAACAAAAATCTGATTTTGTGTTTTCTATAAAGACCAGAGGAATGCTGATCTGGGAAGGGGCAGCCTGCCAGCAACCAGGCAAGGATGCTGCCTTATTTACAGTTGGCAAATGGGAAAATCAATAAAAATCCTTCAGATGGGCATTGTCCAAATTCATTTCATTGTGGCCCCAAAGCAGTTTATGCAATCCATGCATAAATTGGATATCAGTTTATATCCAAGCATATCAGTTTATGCAACCAATACACCCAGGTCACAAAACTGTTTTACCATTAAAATCCAAAGCCATGGCAAAACATGTCCTTCCAAGATAGTGGAGAAGCTCCTTGACAGACCAACATTTCTTCTTCTGTGAAAGAGCCCTTTGAAATCTGCTGCTATGTGACATAAAATGATGATTATTGGATGGTAGGAGCAAAGGGTTTTTCCTGCTGATGAACTGGGGAACGACTGGTTTGCTTGGTTGTTCCGCAGACTGCAGAGTCAACACAGGTTTGGAACCCTGCAGCCCTGCAGACTTGCCCAAATCGAGCTCATGGCCCAGCCAGCCTTTAACCTCATGTTCCTCTTGACCAAGGCCTGTCAGGCAGGCACTGAGCTGGGCAGGTACCCCAGCTCAGACCAGAGCCAAATGAGGAGCTGAGGGAGGCAAAGGCAAGGATTTTATTCCTGCCTAACGTGATGCCTTAAGCAACACCATTCCACTGCAGGTGGGGGAATGCAACCATATGCCAAAGCCAACTTCAGAGCTTCTTGCATTGTCCTCTGTACAGGACAGAGGGGCGTGGAGTGTCTGGGGCCATCCACCTCTCACTGCAATGTGAGCACTTTGTGAGCCTGGGGGAGCTTCCCTTTTCCCTGCTCCTCACTGCAGGGAAAGCAGCACCTTCCTGCCCACTTTGTGTCCTGTTCTGTCGCTGGTGCAGCCTCTCCTCAGGGGCCTTTGCTCTTGAAGCTGTGGAGATTTTCCCCTTGTAAAAAGGTAAAAAGATATCAAGTGTCCAACTGCTGCTGTAGGGGGAGGAAGAGGGGGCAGAGAGCAAAAAGCTCTCTAGAAAATACCAACCACGACATAATAATTTCTGAAGGGGCATTGAAATGTTAGCTTTCTGCTTCACTTTTGGCAAATATCAGAGAAGAAGAGTAAAACAGGACAAGTCTTCAACTCCTACACTGGCTTTAGATCACGACAGCTATTTTGTGCCTGCTGCTCTCTGACACCAGCTGAGCTGGGCCTGTTCTGGCTCTGTCCTTTGAGAGGAGTTTGCAGGGCGTTGGGCTCAGCTACCGTCACTTTGTGGACAAAGCCCTCTTTGCTACTTCAGGATACCCTTAGAGGGATTTGCAAAAGGCAGCAAAAGAAAAACAATCTCATTACGATTAGGCTTTAATGCCCTGCACAACTGCCATCAGTAATTCCCATGAAAAATCTGGAGCAGTTTGCCAGATCAAAATGGTGAAACCCCGAGGTGGCTCAGGCCAGCAGACAGTCCCAGGCAGAGGAAGCCAGGCATGGCTCTGTGTCAGTCTTCACTCAGCCCTGCCATACACCTTGTGCACTGTGTGAATTTTCTCACAGCTCCTGGCCAGCCAGCATGGTCCTGCAGCCAAGAACTTCCAGGATGTGGCCAGGTGTAGGATTCCTTAGTGAAATGGGCTTACAGCTTTCCCACCTGAAACACAGGTTTAACTGCAAGTTACCTTGCAGTGCATTAAAAAAAAAAAGCATAGAAAGTCCCATTCCATCTTGCCTAGGGAAGAATTTCTAGGGTTGTAGAATTTAGAGCTCAAAGGTTTACAATCCCAACAAGATAAGGCAGTGTAACAGCCTCCACAGTTTATTGGTGTAAGCTTATGAAGAGGTCAAAATGGCTTAGTGTGAGGGTCAGTTTTACTCCAAGTCCCTGTTTGAGAAGGGGAAATAACATCTAAATCTTCATAGCTGGCTTCAACGTAAGTATTACATTATAGGGGTTTGGATTGTTTGCTTTTCTCTCCTAGCCTCAGTGGGTTTTCTCCTTCCAGTGAGACAAGAAAATTAATCCCAAAATGAAACTGTGCCTCTGAGCAGGCCTCTGGCCAGCTGGTGCCATTGCACGACCTGTGCCTTTGTAGGGACAAGTGAGGAACTATCATTGCTCTGGGATGTGTTAAGGCGCTGTGCAAAGGCAGCATCACTGTCCTGGTGTCTGTGTGATGTATAGTGGTGAAAATGGCCATTTCAGAATTGACACCCTTGAGGCAGGATGGTATGAAACGACTCCACT